TGGGCTTGGGCAGCATTGGGTTGGGATGTTTTCGTGATGCACACTTTCTTTACATAAAACTCTTATACGTGAGTTGCTGTAGATTTGTTTCTCTAAAGTACCAAGACTAATACAGTTGTATAATACTATGTGGCGGTGTGGTGTTTTGTGGTGTTGTATGGCATGGTATGGTGTGCGAGGCTGTGTGGTGGTCTGTTTCCTGGAGTGCTTGGTCTGGTGTTGTGTGATGCTGTGTTGTCTGGTGTGCTGTGGTGTGGTGGTGTACCACATGGCTTGGTATTGTTATAAGGCTGTGTGGTGGTGTGATAGGATATGGTATGGCAGTGTATGATGTGGTATGCTGTGATGTGTGGGGTGGGGTGGTGTTAGGTTGTGATGCTGTGTGGCAGTGTGGTGCAGTGGTGTGTGATGTGGTGTATGGTGTGGTGCTGACTGGCATTGTCTGGTGTGTGGTGGCGATGCTCGCTGTGCGGTGATGTATGGTGGTGGGCTGTGCTGTGTGTGGTACGGCATGGTGTTATATTGTATGGTGTGATGTGCTGACGCATTGTACAGTGTGGTATAGTGTTGCGTGAGGCTGTGTGGTGATATGCTATTGCTTGGAATTTTTAGTATTGTGCTATGCGACATTGTGTGGTGTGGTATGCTAAGGTGAGGCATTGTATGATGTATGGTGTTGTGTTGTGTTGCTGGGCATAGTGTGGTGTGCTGGGATACTGGATAGCACAGTGCTGTGCTTTGTGGTATGTGGTGTGCTGGGATGCTGGATAGCATGGTGCTGTGCTGTGTGGTGGAGTACAGTGTGGCACGTGGTGTGCTGGGATATTGGATGGCACGGTGCTGTGCTGTGTGGCATGATATGTGCTGGGATGTTGGATGGCACGGTGCTGTGTTGAGTGGCATGATGTGTGCTGGGATGCTGGATGGCACGGTGCTGTGTGGTGGAGTGCCACACTCTTTGTCCCTCACACCCTCATAGAGACTCTCTCCCCCCTTCAGTGCGCCTCTACGGACCCAACTTCATCCTGCAGGTGTACTCATCCCAGAGGAAGTCCTGGCACCCCGTGTGCCAGGATGACTGGAGCGAGAACTACGGGCGGGCCGCCTGCAGAGACATGGGCTACAAGTGAGTGTGGCCCTCTGTGTCCCACATGGGTAGTGTCTTCATTGTGACAATGACAGCCACAAGCAGGAGCATAAGAAAAATACATTTTCTCTCTGCTCCTCTGTGGCCACATAAACTCCGGATCAGCTGTCTCTGCAGAAGAGCTCCCTTGCAAGCAGTAGGCAGAAGCTAGCCTGCTGGGCACAGTGGCCAGACTGTTCACCCACGTGGGCTCCTTCCCCAACCCCCACCCCCGCTACACCCTGCCTTCTCCTGAGCCCACGCTGTGTCCAGTGCAGTGCACGATCGGAACCTGTCCCTTTGTTTGCCAAGAGACTTACATTCTGTTCTGTGCACAGACAAACCACTGCGAGCTGGCATCGGACTTGGGGTTGTTTGAGACTTAACCGTTTATTTGAATAACATCTTCTGTTGTGGATGCTTGCTTTTCAGGCACAACTTTTACTTGAGCCATGGTGTAGTAGACGACAGCGGGGCCACCAGCTTTATGAAGCTGAACACCAGTGCCGGGAACATCGATCTGTACAAGAGACTGTTCCACAGGTACTGGGAATTCATCCCTAGAAAAGGTGGGCTGTGAGCCCCAGCAGCAGGGGCCCCGGGACCACTCACTGTCCAAGGAGAGTTCTCGAAGTGGCAATTCTGCATGTGAATGAGTATCTCACTGGAAGGAGGTTAAACTCTAGCGCCGGAGTGGTTGCTCTGAGCATGGCTGAGCATATTCCTGGGAAACAGCCACAGTTCAGTTTTCCACTTAGCCCATGGTCCCTGGTGACACTGGGTAACGTCACAAAATCAGGGATTCTATTTTGTGGATTTTCTCCCAGATGTTGATGGCCAGGAGTGGCTTTTGGAGTCGCAGAGAGTACCTGGGAGTCCCTATTAGTGGGAGGGATGCACACCACCATGCCCAGACTGGCTCAGGTGTCACACTGAGAGTCCTGCTTCCCAGGGACCGCCACCCCCCTCCAAACCCATGCGCAGCTGTGTCAGCCGAGCCACATTCTGGGCTCTGGGTGGGAGAGACTACTGGAGTTCGGTGGACTTTCCCTGTCCTCACAGTCATGGGGAGGTCCTGTGGATGAGTCGCTCTACCTGGCAGGTGTGTGCCTCGTGGCCACATCAGAAACCCTGTAATGAGGTAGCTGTGGCCTCCGTGAGCGGCTGTGGTCCCCCTGAAGGCTGACTCAGCCCCACCTCCAGGAGGCTGTGGGCACCCACAGGTCCCAGCCGCTGTATCTGCCACACTCTGGGCCACACTTGATCGGCAGGGCAGCTCACTGGGTGTCTGGGAGTGGGAGTGGGAGTGGTGGCAAACAATACGTCCTGTGCTTGGTGATGTAATTCTTGAGAAGTTTCAGTAAGAGTGTCTGCTCAAGCTAGGTTTTCGTTGTTGTTGTTTTTTACTATTTTTGTTTTGCTTGTGTTTAAAATATTGACATTCTTTCTAGAACAATTATTCTTATTGAATGGGGTTTTTTCCTTTTCTTTTTAATACACTTTATTTTTTTAGAGCAGTTTTAGGAATACACAAACATGAGAAAGCTTCCCAAAAAGTTTGTGGAAGAACTCCAATGATCTTTTCATTCCATTGGAGCCTTGGTGGTGTAGTGGTTATGTGTTGGGCTGCTAACCACAAGAGGAGCAGTTCAAACCCACCAGCCACTCCATGGGAGAAAACTGAGGCTTCCTGCTCCTGTAAAGCTAGTTACAGTTTTGGAAACCCCCCAGGGTAGCTCTGCCTATTCTACAGGGTCGTAATGAGGAGGAACAATCTCAGTGATGAGTTTGGTTCATCAAACAATCTCAGTGATGAGTTTGTTGTTGTTGTTTTCCATTTGTCCACAAACGTGTTGAGGGCCCCTCTGATGACAGAAAGTTTCTCATCTATATTTTCAGCCCTTTATTAATTGCCTTCCTGTGTCCATTTGCTACAATGGACCAGCCAACACTGACACATTGTTAGTAACTCAAGCCCAGAATATGCATCAGGGTTTGCTCTTTGTGCTGGGAAATCCTATTGGTGATGATTTTCAAAATCTCAAAATCAAACTCACGACTATGGAGTCGATTCCAATTCATGATGACCCCACAGGACAGAGTAGAACTGCCCCTTTGGGTTTCCCAGACTTCGCATGTTTGGAGAATTAGACAGCTTTACCAGTCTCCTGTGGAGCATCTGCTGGATTTGAACCACTGACCTTGTGGTTCGCAGCTCAGTGGCTAGCCTACCACACCTCTAAGACTCCATGGTGATAGATGTCACTGCCTTCAAGACCTCAGAATGTTCTTGAACACAAAGGTACATGTTGTGTCCTTGCCTGCACATGAACTTTGGTCACTCCCAGGGCTGGGGGCCCATCCCCAGGTAGCTGGCCTGACCCATGCTGTGAGCAGATGCCAGGTGCTCAGTTTGGGGCAGATGAACTAACCACAGGACCCTCCTTTCTGTGAGTGGGAGGCAGAAAAGCGGGGTACATTCGTTGAGGTGTCTGGGATTTGGATCAGCCTCAGGGATGGCTGTCCCTGGGAATATTCCAGGCTGGGTGCAGGAGGATGGAGTGCACCTGTGCCCATCAAAACCTCAGGGCTGCGGTTTGCCTGCCCTGGAAGCAACATAGCTGCCGGCACTGTTTGTAAAGACTGAATGTGCCTTTGTCCTCCTGGATTGCACCTGAAATCTCAGAGCCAAGGAAAATGAGCTGATGTGGGGAGGGGGCAGAGGGGCCTGCCATCCTCTGGCTTGGAGCTTGGGAACTCCCAAGGCGGTGTGGAAGAAGGAAGAGACTGTCATTGTGTGGGGAGGTGTGGGATCCCTCGACTCTTTCTGTCCTTTCAGAAGTTATCCTTTGACAATGGAGTCTCTGGCTGCTCAGGAGGGTTTCCAGGTGAAGGACAGGTGGCTTTGTGGTTCGTAGGGAACATCTTTTCTTCCTGGGACCGTTTCTTCTTCGGCACCGTCACTGTCCTCCAACTACAGGTGCTGGGACCCTCCTGTCATTGAGCAAAGTTGGGTTTGTGGACTCTTGGTAGCGTGGCCACCAGCTGCACTGGGGGGGAGGGAGGAGTGTCTTCTTAAGGAAGTTAGGATGCTTTTCAACTCGATGGCAGTGCGCTTGCTTTGCGTATTAGCGTTGGGGCTCATAGCAGGTGATCTGGGGGAGGTCCCAGAGAGTAGGGTTGTGCTGTGCTTGGATGCTTTCAGGAAATACACGCTATCACAGGGAAACGTGCTTTTTCCTGGAAGGTGGACCTCATGCCGAGGGACAGCTCCTAAAGAGCAGCAGTCTCCCATCATGGACAGCAGGGGGTGCTACATAGTCACACCTGTGATTGGGCCCTAATTGGACCACCTGTAGGCCGGTGTTCAGACATGTTCATTAAGGAAACTCAATGCCATCGACTCAATTCTGACTCACAGTTTCCCTAGAGGACAAGGTAGAGCCTGCCTTTGTGGCTTTCCACGACTGTGACTACAGCCGGAGAAAGCCTGCCCTACCTTTCTCCCGAGGAGTGGCTGGTAGTTTGGAACCACTGACCTTCTGGTTAGCAGCCAACAGGTAACCACTAAGCCACTGGGGCTTCCAGACATGACAAAAGGGTGGGCTTATTATTTTATTTTGAAAAGGGAAGAATATTTTAATAGCTTTTTCAAGTGATTATGGCTATTCCTTTGGGATGGCAGCAAATTCAACAAGTGATGGTTTCTTAAAGGTTAGCTGTGATGTAGAATTTGAAATCCTATCAATGAACTTCATGTATTCTGATACATTAAAGTCCACTCACCTGTCTTATATTTTGGATGGTTCTTTTTACACAGGCACGATTTTGTAACATCACATGTAGTATTAAATTAAAAATGGCCATTTGGAAAATATAAATCTACAGCATTAAGCAGAGTTTCCAAAAGTTGGTTCATTTAATTATGGAGTACAAAAAAATTATATTCATTAATATCGCATGAATAAAAAGTTCTTGAAATTGGCAAAGTGTGAAGTTTATGATGTAAGAAAAGGAAGGAAATGAGAGTGGATAGTTTCAAAAAAATTTTTTTCTACATGAATTGTATCATTGGCAACAAATCCAGTCAGTTGTTTACTTTGAAGTATCAGCTCCCAGCATTCATTTTAGAGAAGACATCTGCCAAGTAAAATACGCAATCCTGGACAACTGTCTTTGCCCACTGTCAGTTCTTCTTTCAAGCCAAAATGATGTTCCAATTGTTCCGTGAAAAAAACAATGACTTCCACTTGCAACTCAAACAATCACACAGTCCCTTTCCACCGAAGCCGTCGTGCGTTGGCATTCGGAGTGCTTTCCTTACACCTCCCATGCTGTCACGTGGAATATCATTAATATTTCTAACTGTTCCACCCAGAGCACTCAGCTTGAAACAGGCCCTGGATTGTCCTTCATTTCCTGTGAGTGGGTGTGGGGGGCAGTGCAGAATAGGACCCCTGGGCCAGTTTGCAGCCACTTTCTTGGTTCACGTTGACATGTCAGTAGAGAGCTGTTGGTCAGTGAAAATGTTGACACAGTGGAAAGGGCCAATCATGCCTTCGTACTATTATGAAAGTCATTTTGCTTTCTCAGTTCCCCTGAAAGGGTTTGGGGACCCCGGAAATCCATGAACCATACTTGGAGCAGAGCTGTCCACAACTTCTCTAGTCCGGCATCACTGCACATGCTCAAGAAACTCTCCAAACCAAGTACTACAATGATTGACATCTGATGTGGCTCTAGCGTTAATAGTTGACTTCCGTCTCCTGCAATCAGAGAGCTTTCTAAACTGTACACCTGTGATTCCCTTGCTTCAGAACCCTGAAATGGGCTTTGATGGTTACAGTATAACACTTTAGCATGCATAATAATCGACACATACTTTTATCAAACCCCCAAACAAGTCCACTGCCAGTCCAGACTCGCAGTGACCCTACAGGGCGGACTAGCACTGCCCTCGGGGGGAGCGGGGGCTGCGATTGTTGCGAAGCAGACTGCCACGTCTTTCTCCCGGGGAGCGGCTTGAGCATTCAGATCGCTCATCTTTTCAATTAGGAGAAGAGACGAACCACTGCGCCACCAGAGCTCCTTACTTTTTATAACTATGTGTCCTTAAGCTAGAGGTGGTATTGTAGACCAACGGGGTCAGAAAGGATGACTAGATCAACGTTTTGACATTAAAAATGCATTGTTATGAGTTGCTGGTCAGTCAGTTCTGATTCATGTTGGCAGGTGTTAAGAATATGAGGGGGCTTCAAAAATTTGTGAGAAAATTTTGTTATCTTTTAATTCTATTTTGCACACACTTTTGGGGGGGCAGAACACAAAAAAATGTATTATTATTACTTTGGTTTTCCTTTGTGGGTAGCTTTTTTCTTTTCTTTATTAATTGGGATTTAATACATATATCATATCATTCCATAGTTCAGTCATGTCGAGTAGAATTGTACAAGTGCCACCACACTCAGTTTCTAGACATTGTTTTAATACAGAGACTCCTTGACACCATTGCCCTTTTACTCCACCCACCACTGTACCCCCCTCCCCCGAAACCCTTGTTCTATCTGCTGTCCAGGCTCATCAATCCTGGGTGTCATTTACCGAAAAAACAGAACAACAAATAGTCTAACTTCAAGAGGGTGGCCACCCCCAATATCATAACGCTTCTGAGATGCACCCTATTATGATCAAGCATAAACAGAATAAAACAGAATGTCTGCCACAGGATGCCGGAATGATACGTATCTAACACAGCAGAGAGGGTGTTGATGTACCAAGACCTTGTCTGTCCGCCGACCAACAGTGCACCGCTCTTGGTACAGCTGTCTTGCTCCTCAGACACCGTGTGTTTTCTGACTTAAGTCCTCGGGTAACAAGTGGGTCTGAGGGAGTGCATCTCACCCAGGGGAGTTCCCATATGGGGTCTCACTGAGCATGCTGTGCTCCCCGAAGATGCAGGACTCAGTGTCCTAGTATTCCATGGCACCCAACCTGGGCACTGGGATACCCCCAGATGCCCAAGTTCAGTGTTGCCCAGTGGGCTTAGTCTTGTCTGGATCCATTTAGTCCCAGAGTGGCTTTGTGTGCCATCGGTGTTCTGTGACCTTGGGCACTTTAAATGCTCAGGCCCGGTGGAGTGCTGTCAGGGACTGTCTCCCACTTTCTCAAGATAGTGGGGGGGACAAACACATACACACACACACACACACATGCACAATGATTTATTCATTGTTTCCTTTTCATCCGTCACCTCTGATGTTTAGATCCCAAGAAGGGAGCACTCTTTTCCATGTGCACCGGGGTACAGGATTGGCTGGTGTCTCTTGTTATATGTTGGTCAGGGTGGCTCCATTCACCATCCAGCTGTGTCGGGAGCATAGATGGGCGTGCACTCGTGGATCGCTGTTGTTGCAGGATGGGGCATGGAATGGGGTTCACCTCGGTGGCCTTTCACTCTGTGCTCCTCCCAGTCTCCCTTTGCCTCGATGATTCGTTTTGTGCTGGCCTCCCCTTAGTGAGTCTTGCCTTGCCCTCCCCCTTAGTCAATATGCATCCATCCTTTAGCTAACCCCCCCCCCTTCCCCTTTCCTCCCTGGGAACCTTCAGAGAGCGATCCTTTCTGTTGGTAAACCTTTCCCTTGTACAAAGTGTTGTACAGTAGTGGTCTCATAGTTGGCTGTCCACGGCGGTCTGATTTCACACGGCATCATGTGGTCCAGGGGCATCCATGTTGTGAGGATGCACCCAGACTCCCTGTCCTTCCTCAGCAGGCATGGCATCCCTCCGTCCCTCCGTCCCTCCCTCCCTCCTTCACGTGCATGCAGCACCGTTAGTGTAGCCATTCTTCTGTTGTAAACAGCAAAGGGTGTTTTGTTTCTTTCTTTCTGATTAAGACATATACGATCAAACATTTACATTTCGATGTTTTCATGTGGATGTGTAACTTCAGTGACATTTATTATTCATCCACCATACTGTATAACCACCTCGGCTATCCACTTCAATGATGAATTCAATGAATTCTCCACTAGTGGGTTATGAGTTGGGCTACTAACCTCCAGGGGAGTGGTTTGAAACCAGAAACCACTTCATAGGAGAAAGATGAGGCTTGCTACTCCCATGAAGAGTTACATTCTTGGAAACCCACCAGCGGCATTTCTACTCTGTCCTACACGGTCGCTATGAGTTGAAGTCGATGGCAGTGAGTCTGTTGTTGTTGCTCTTGTTGTTTGGAACAGGAACTCGGCGCCACCTATGTAATGACCCTCCCTCCCTTCCCACCCACCCCTATGTAATGACCCTCCCCTCCCCTTCCCACCCACCCCTGGATATTCTATATAAATGGGATCATACAACATCTGTCCTTTCGCATGGCTTGTTTCATGCAACATGATGTCCCCAAGCTCGTTCCTGTTGGCTGTGTCACTCGTCACAGGAGACAGAAATGTAAACAGCCTTGGGCATCCAGGCATTTCTGAGTGGCTTCCTTGGAAAGTTAGAGGGCAATTTCCAATTCCAGGAATAAAAATGATCACTAACTATAAGAGTGAGTTCTCATTCTCTGCGATGGTACTGTTCCTACCCCACCCTACAGATCCACAAACAGAGGCACAGAGATTTCAATCACTTGCCTAAAGTCGCACAGGTGGGATTGGGACATGGGGGCTTTGGATCTTACGGCTCACTGTGCTGTATGGACCTTCCTGCCTCATCGGAGTCTTGCACGGTGGGGCCTTCTGTTTGGGGGGAGATAGGGAATGGGGCCCTTGACAGAAAATGTTCCTGTCTAACTCTTTTGGAGAGCCACATGAGGCTTCCTTTTTTAAGCATTAAAGTGACCAAAGTTCCCCCTCTCTTTTCCAGCGACCTCTGTTCTTCTAAAATGGTGGTTTCTTTGCAGTGTATAGGTAAGTGCTTCTCAATGTCCCTCTCTCCATTCCGTACCTGAAATCCTCCGTACCTTTAGAGAAGGTGTCTTTGGGGATGCAGGGGCGGGGAGGGAGGTGGGCTAGCAGCCTGGGATGGATTCCTGCGTCTGTCTCTCTCCCTGTCCGCACACACCCTGCCCAGGAAGCACCTGTTTGCATCATGACCTTCAGCCTTGGTCTCAGAGCCCCGCCCGAGGATGGGGCATCTTGAGTCACTGACACGACCCAATTCTTTGTGCCTCGACCCCCTCCAGCCTTGAGCAAATGGCATGGGGTGGGGGCGGGGGTGCATATCTGACTTCCTCCGGCTTCCCTATTGCCATGAGGCAGAGGGCAGGTATACCTTCCCCCTCCGCCTTTCTTTCCCCTCCCCTGGCAATTCTACTTCTGTGCCAGGTTCCACGGCTCATTGCAATGGCCACATGGTCACAGACGATGCTCACCATTCTAGGAGTTTTTTAGGGAAGAGAAGAGGCCACACACCGGGATCAGAGAACAGTAAGGAGGCACTCACTGGTCCACAGCAACAGCTCTCCTCAGCCAGCAGCCCCGTCTCAGCTCCACTCCTCAGCCTCCCAGCCACAAGGCACCTTGACCTCTGCCTCCAGGGGCCAGGAAGCCAGCCAAGTGCTTGGCCTCACCGTCTCAAGGTCTTGGCACTGCTCCTCTGTTCCGTCTCATGGTCTCTCCTGGCCTCGGCCTCTGTTCTCTACTTGGCTTTTGCTCTGTCCCATGGGCTCTACACTGCAGCCTCAGGTGTCTCTGGTCTCATCCTCCAGCACTTCAGAGATCAGCACCATGGGCTCCCCAGGTGGAGCTCCTCTTTTTCCCAGGGTCCTGGGATGTGTGTGTGTTTCTGAGATGGCCCTCACACACCGAGGAATGGCCATGTGATGGAGGTGTGGTTTTTGTCCATCTGACCCTACCCCTCTGGGAAACAAAAGGCGGTGGCGTGCTTCACACCTCCTATGGAGGGGAGACTTCAATCCCTTCCATCAGAATTCACAGCACAGGCATACAACCAAACCAGCCTCCAAGCAATCAGTCGATTCTGACTCAAAGCCACCCTGTAGGGCAGTGTAGAACTTCCCTGTGGGTTTGCAACACTTTCCACCTTTACAGGAGTAGACAGCCTCATCTTTTCCCCATGGAGCAGCTGGTGGTTTCCAACCACTGGCCTTGGGGTTGGCAGCTCAGGGACTCACTCACCCATCACATCCTCAGAGCACCTAGCAGCCACAAGCACAGAGGCCAAAATGCTTAATACAACACATAAGAGATTCTGGTCAGAAGGGCGTGGTAACTGAGCCCTGGTGGCAGAGTGGTTGTGTGCTGGGCTGCGAACCCCAAGACCAGCAGTTCCAAGCCACCAGCGGCCACTCCTCAGGAGAACTTTCTCCTCCCATAAACAGTTACAGTCTCAGAAACCCTTAGGGGCAGCTCGACCTTGTCCTAGAGGCTCACTGTGAGTCAGAATTGACTCAGCCTCGGGGAGTTTGGCTTGGTTTTGAGTTGGGGATGCCTCATGCTAAGACAGTCCAGGCTGAGCGGAAACAGCCAGGCAAAGACTTCGAGGTGAGGGATTTGAAGAGTCTTCTGGCTCCAGGCGTCCATTGATACTGCCCAGATACTGCCCAGAGAGGGGCCTCCTGCTGCCCTCCTGGGGGAAGGAGCCAGCAGTCAGGGGGCCCATGGTGGCAGAAGCATTGGGTGAGGACACCTGCTGGCTTCCCTTGCAGCGTGGGGAGGGCTCTGCCTGTGGACATGCAGCCGTTCTCTGCACAAGTTCCTGGAACCCGAGTGTCTGCCCACCAACCTCCCTCCCTCGCCTGGCTCACACTCATTGCATAACTATCCCCACCCCTCAGGGCTGCCAGCACCCCAGCCCTCTAGGAGTAACCTCACATTGATGTTAGCCCCCCACTTTGAAACTGGCACTCGGTGGGCATGGAGGGCCCGGTCTCACTCACCCCTCCCTTCTGGAGCTGAAGTGTTTTCATCCTTAGACCTCCAAACACTGTCAGTCCCTCTGGGGTGCCCGGGGCCCCTTGGTTCCCCAGGGTCCTCCTCCCTAGGGCATGCTTGGAATCTCAGAAGTGCCTGATGGAGGACTTGTGCCCAGGAGGGTATGTTGTGTCTTAGTCCTGTCTCCCTCAGTCAGTGTCCCTGGGCTCCTTGCTGATCCCCATGCTGCTTCTATGTCTGCCCCTCCCCCTCCTTGTGTCTGTGTGCCAAGTCTGCTCTTGGTATAGCTCAGTGACTAGGTCCAGGACAGCCCTGCACCTCGTTCACATCACAAGGAAAACCCCCCTTCTCACACAGGATCACATCCACACGGACTAGGATTCTAGCACGTGTTTTCTGGAGACAGGGTTCCTGTGATGGCCGGGTTCCCTACAAGGCTCTGTTGTTCCCTCGGCCTCACCAAGGAGAGGTGGCAACAGCAGCCGTGGTCTCTGCCCTCCTTGGAAAGGGGCCTCGGGACTGAGCATCTGGGTGCTGGGGCGCAGGGCAGCCATGGTGTGTGCTGACCGGCTCTCGGGTGTCCTTTGTGCTTGTCGCTTCAGAGTGTGGGGTCACAGCCAAAATGACCAGCCAGAGCCGGATTGTGGGGGGCGAGGGCGCCGCCCTGGGGGACTGGCCCTGGCAGGTAAGCCTGCACGTCCAGGGCGTGCACGTCTGCGGGGGCTCCATCATCACCCCCGAGTGGATCATCACGGCCGCCCACTGTGTGGAAGAGTAAGTCCCACCCCGGGTCCCCAGGCAGGGTGGGTGTTCTGGGGCTGAGCCAGTGCCTACCCTAAGTGGGGGCGAGCCGGGGTGAGCGTGCCTGCCTCAGCTTGGCTGTGGGGACAGTGCTCTGCCTCCCGAGGGGCCACCGCGGGCCTCTTGTGCGCATGCCCTGGTCACTAAGGGAGAATGTTTGACAGCCAGCTCACACTGGTAGTCAGAATCCCATCCACCCTGGTATCTTCTCGGCTCACGGAAGCCACCATCTTCATGAGCAGTCTGATCTCTCTGGGACACTCACCTGCAGGGAGTGCATGCTCAACCGGGATGGAAGCGCACATGCCCCACCTGAAGTTTCTCTGCAGCCCTTGTTAAGAGCCCTTGGCACCAGGGAGAGCAGGGCTCAAACCTAAAACCCAGCTCCTGGCCATGGAGTTGATGCAGATCCAGAGTGACCCTGTGGGGCGGGTAGACCTGCCCCGCGGGTTTCCGAGACAGGGAACTCTTTATGGGAATAGAAAGCCCCATTGTTCTCCCTCTGAAGGAGCTGGTGGATCTCAGCTCCTTCTGACCTTTTGGGTCTCAGCCCAACATATAGCCACTATGCCATCAGGGTGCGTGTTAGATGTTCTAAGCCCTGGCACAGCAATATATGGGCAGCAAGTCTCAGACCACTGAGGGAGTGGATAGAGAAGCCTGATGTCATGGGGCCAGGAGGGGACTTCAGCCTGGACACCCACCCTCCCGGCTGGAGTCACCTGCCCTCACCCCCACCTTCAGCTGACGGCTCTCCCACCTCAATCTTGGCTCTGGCTGCAGCCCTCCTCTCAACCCCCAAGAGTGGATTCATGGCCCCGGCCCTGGTGTCTGCACCTGCACAACAGGTGTGCCCCCCAGCTCCTCAAGGGCCAGTGCGAAGGTGGAAGGAAACCACCCCCTATTTCCACCCGACTGGCTGGCTTTCTAGGACAGGAGATGCCCTGATAAAAGAGAAAGGTGTCGCTGGGTGGGACAAGCTATTTGTACTGGATGGCAGTACCACGGAAGAAAGGCCTGGTGATCCGCTTCCATGGGCTCTGTAGCATGTGAGGGGTGCCATGAGGTGGCCTTGGCTTGTCAGTGGCAGGTTTGCTTTGGTCTGGGTTCAAAGGGAAGCATCTGATAAAAGGCCTACCTGGCCTGGCAGGCTTACACCTTGGAGTCTAGTCATCAGGGTGACCTTACTGAGTAGCTACTGTGTGCCAGGCAATGCTCAGGTGTGTAAAGGTCAGACCAGTCCTGCCAGAAGGAGCCCTGGAAGCTAAGGGAGGGATTCAGGCACAGGAAAATGTGTTCTTAAAAGTGTGAAGGGCTTGTGGGATGGTGCCGAGAGGGACAGGCTAAAAGGTAAGTCAAGTGTGGAGAGAGGGGAGTGCAGGGGATGAGGCTGGGGTCAAGTGCAGGGATAGGGGATGGGGGGGGGGGGAGGCTGAGACCCTCCTTAGCAGTCTTGTTTGTGCTCTGAGGTGAGCCATACCACCTCTGAGAATCTTGGCTCCGGTGTATGATTTTTGACGGGGATAGTGGTGCTAGAGCATTGGAATGTCTGCCCGCCATGATGGAGACCCAGGTTCTAGGCCAGCCTGTGTGTCTCATGCTCGGCCATCAGCCTTCTCCGTGCTCCCCACCCCCACTCACCCCACCCCGTGGGGAGCATGAGCACTGCCGTGATGCAGAACAGATTTCAGCAGAGCTCCCAAACTCAGATGGGCTAGGAAGAAAGGCCTGATGACCTGTCTGCTGCCAACAGTCGGCCCGTGAAAACTCTGTGGACCACAGCGTCAATCGCCAACCAGCTATGGGGATGAGGCGGGCCAGGGAGCTGTCCAGGCGTGGTGCGGGGAGTCATCGTGGGCCGCTGACAACCACTGTGGATCTTGGAGCTCCTGTGGGAGTGCGTGTGGTTTCTCATTCTCTTCCAGACCTCTTTCCAACCCGAGATATTGGACGGCCTTTGCGGGGATTTTGAAGCAGTCGTTCATGTTCTACGGAAGTGGGAAGCGGATTGAAAAGGTCATTTCTCATCCGAGTTATGATGCCAAGACCAAGAGCAATGACGTAGCTCTGATGAAACTGCAGACCCCGCTGACCCTCAGTGGTACGTTCCTTGGTTCCTCGGGCCCAGGGAAGGTGTGCCTCTAGGAGATAGATGGTGTGCTGTGGTAACCGGGAGGAAGGGAGTTGAGTGAGGATAGGGTGCAGAAGGCAGAGCAGGGCTGGGCAGGGGCTGGGTCACCTGCAGAGGTACCTGCATCAAGCTGAAGAAAGAGGGAGTGCTAGGTTGTCCTCTGTTGAACACAGTGATTTTTAGCCGGTAGATATGGATGTCTTCCCCAGAGTTCCTCTGTGGGCCACGGTGGACATCTCTGGCCCGGTAATTCTTTGTTGAGGGGGTCTGGCCTTGGTGCTGTAGGCCATTTGGCAGCATCCCTTTAACTGTGAGATCAGCCACAACCACAAAGGTCCCCTGACCTTGTCAGATCTCCTCTGGGCGGCAACAGAGCCACTCCGCTAGCCTGTGTAATGATACCTTCTTTTGCACATACACACAAGATCCCAAAGTGGGAAACTTCAAACTAACCATCATTTAAAACCCTCTCCCTTACTCCCTAGCTTCTTATTTGGTTCCCTGTTCTAGTCTGCCCAAAGGGGTCCCTGTGGTGTAGTGGTTATGTGTTAGGCTGCTAACTGCAAGGTCAGCTGTCTGAACCCCGCAGCCGCTCTGAAGGAGAAAGATGAGGCTTGTCTGCTCCCATAAAGAGTGACAGATACAGAGGCAGCCCTCCTCCTCTAGGGTTGCCATGTCCTATAGGGTTGCCATGTCCTATAGGGTTATCATGAGTCGTAATCGACCTGATGGTAGTAGATGAGCCAGTCCACTCAAGGATCCAGAATGTTCTAGCCCCACACGGGTACAGACATAAAAATGAGTGCCTTCCCGTGAGCTGCTTGGGATATGATTTACATACATAGAAAATGCCATCCACAAAGGAAGGGCTCTGGTCTGAGGAAGCATTCCCACCACATGCTGGCGGCTTTCTAGAACTGGGTCTCCTTGTTAGAAGGGAAAACACTAGGTCAAGGTAAAACGCCAACAAGCTTGTCCCTGAGCCTACTGCTGCCATGAAGCTGGCCCCTGATTTGCAGTGACCCTAGAAGTTCCCACTTCCAAAGTACGTGAAGGACCACCCAGAGACAGCAGGGTGGATGCCGCCTGGGGCTGCAGCGGCTCACCGCTCCGTTGGGACCCATAACGTTTTTGGTGTCGGGGTTCCAGAAGAGACCACGAGGCTTTTCTTCCTAGCCACACCTCAAGCTTCCACGCAACCAGATGGAGAGACGCAGTGGCTGCAGCGAACGGAGCGATGGGGAGGCGGGCAGGACCCGGCAGGGTTTCATTCTGTTGCCCAGAGGTCGCTGGGGCTCGAGGCTGACTCGATGACAAGACCTGACAGATTAGGAACAGGGTCTCTTGCAAGGAGGATGGGATTCTACACCTACTGAACCACCACCGCCCCCTAGAGTCTACTTTAGAAACAAAGCCGACAGACCAGCCGGCCACAGTCCAGCGGTTCAGACTCTCGTGCTAGAGGAGTGGCTCCAGAGAGTTTGTTGTTGTTGGGCACTGTGGAGCGACCCCGTGTGACACAGTCGAACTGTCCCAGAAGGCTTTCTTGGCTATAGTTTCTTCCAGGCTTTCTCCCGAGGAGCCACTGGGCGGGCTCCCACCACCATCCTTTTGGTTAGCGGCCCAGCGAGCATGTCACTGCTGGGTCAGCAGGGCTCTTTGGAGTCTATTTAACTAACTAACTAAACTAAACTATCTCTCTGCTATTCCGCGATGCCGACTCATTACAACCCTATAGGATAGGGTAGAACTGCCCCCGTGGGTTTCTGAAACGGCAACTCTTTTTTTTTTGTTTTGTTTTATTAAGGGCTCATACAACTCTTATCACAATCCACACATACATCAATTGTGGAAAGCACATTTGTACATTCATTGCCCTCATCATTCTCAAAATAGTTCCTCTCCACTTAAGCCCCCCGCATCGGGTCCTCATTTTTCCCCTCCCTCCCCGCTCCCTCCTCCCTCATGAGCCCTTGATAATTTATAAATTATTATTTTGTCATATCTTGCCCTGTCCGACATCACCCTTCACCCACTTTTCTGTTGTCCGTCCCCCAGGGAGGAGGTCACATATAGCTCCTTGTAATCGGTTCCCTCTTTCCAACCCATTCTCCCTCTACCCTCCCAGTATCACCACTCACACCACTGGTCCTGAAGGGATCATCCGCCCTGGATTCCCTGTTTCCAGTTCATATCTGTACCGGTGTACATCCTCTGGTCTAGCCAGACTGAACCTGCAAGTCTTTACAGCAGTAGAAAGCCTCATCTCTTTCTCCCGTGGAGCGTTAACGGTTTTGAAATGCTGACCTCATGGTTAGCAGTGCAGCATGTAACCCTCTATGCCACCAGATCCCCTTCAACGTGTGTTTATTACTCAGCACCGACTGTACACATGGGCTTTTTTTGGTCGTGGCCTCCTGGGTGTCTTTGCTAGCAAATAACTCTGAATACATCTATCCCAACTCACTCCCTGCTGGAAGGAGGGGCCCGGCAGGGACAGATGGTGAGTGCACTGGGCCACACTGGAATTGAGATGTTTCCTTGGGCTCAGTGGCACTTGCCTAGGAGAGGTCCAGGGGAATTTGTCCCCTGAGGCTTCCCTGAAACACTGCGTTGCCTCTCTTTCTAACAGACAGAATAAGGCCCGTGTGTCTGCCCAACCCGGGCCTGATGCTGGAGCCCACGCAGACCTGCTGGATTTCTGGATGGGGCGCCACCCACGAGAAAGGTGAGTCTCTCGGCACGCGAGCACCCACCCAGCAGCTTGGAACAGAGCAGCCTGGGCTTTGGAAGTGGGCGGGCGACGCCTTCACCCTGGTGACTTTGGGCCAGCCATGCATTCTTTGTGCCTCACTTTTCCCGCTTGTTTAATGGGAACCCTCTTCCTTGTCCTATAGGACACACCGGGTTCTGGGTAAGATCACACAGGACCAGGTGTAGAAACTGTTTTTCATAAATGTGGAAAAAACCAAAAACCCAGTGCCGTCCATCTGGTTCTGACCGGTCTCGTTCGTGCGTGTCAGAGTTGAGCTGACTTCAGGGTGTTCCGGGTCTCCCATGTTAGATGTCGATCGCCAGCCCTTTCTACGCAGGTGCCTTTCAGTGGACTTGACCCTCCCACCTGTTGGTCAGTGGTGTGTGCATTAGTCCCACTCAGGGTCTCCAGTGGACGCGTAATGGCTCAGAAATATATGGTGTATAAAACCTCTGCATTTCCTATGTGTACCAGTGTACATCCTCTGGTCTAGCCAGACTTGTAAGGTAGAATTGGGATCATGATAGTGGGGGAGGAGGAAGCATTTAGGAACTAGAGGCGGATGATCCCGTCAGGACCAGTGGTGTGAGTGGCGATGCCCGGAGGGTGGAGGGTGGAGGATGTGGGGTGGAAAGGGGGAACTGATTACAAGGATCTACATATAACCTCCTGCCTGGGGATGGACAACAGAAAAGTGGGTGATGGGAGACATCGGACAGGGCAAGTTATGACAAAATACCAATTTATAAACTATCAGGGGCTCATGAGGGAGGGGGGAGCGGAGAGGGAGGGGAAAAATGAGGACCTAATGTCGGGGGTTTAAGTGGAGAGAAAATGTTTTGAGAATGATGTACAAATGCGCTTTACACAATTGATGTGTGTATGGATTGCGATAACAGTTGTATGAGCCCCTAATAAAATGTTTAAAAAATAAAATAAAACCCTCCCAGGGGCAGCCCTATCCCTGGGCCTGCAGCCTCTTGTGAGTAAGAGCAGCCTAGGAAGTCTCCACCCTGACCATGAACTCTGAACTTGCAGAATGTTGATGCCACGTCCTTCCCCCAGAATCACCCCAGCAAGTGGCTGGGCGCAGCCTCTCCAGAGGAGACATGCCTGGTTCCCACACTTAGCATTTGCCTCCGTTTAGGTATCATATAAGGAGCCTTCAAGTTCATGAGAAAATGCCATTATCTTTTCATTCCAAGTTCCTTTGTTCTTCCCGGATGAAGGCATCCGGGCTATTGCATTTGGGCCTTGGGTTGGAAACCCTGGCTGACACGAAGAATTCTTTTGTGTGTTGTTTGCATCTTTTACTTGTAAAGGAATCTTCAGGGCCCACGTAGAACAAACCCATCCTGTAAAACCAGGTGAAGAGTATTAGGTCTGGGGGATTGGAGGGTGTCAGAGAGGGAGATGGTGGTGAATATTCAGGCACCTGGTCCAAAGAAAGTTCCTGCGGTTCAGTTGATGGTTGATTGGGAAGCAGTGTAATAGGGCAGCTCGTGTGGGCTGGGCATGAACAGATAACAGCATGCTTTTGTGGCCGTTTGACAGGAGCCCTTCTAGTGTCGTGCCTTGTGCATTTGGCTACTAACTGTAAGGTCAGCCGTTCGAAACCACCGTGGTAGAAAGAGGAGCCTTCCTACTCTCGTAAACATTTAAAGTCTCGGAAACCCACAGGGCAGTTCTGCCCTGTTCTAGAGGGACAGCTCGAGTCTGGAAGGACTCAGGATGGAGTGAGTGTGCTTGCCTGTAGAACAGGGAGTGTCAGGTGATGGTCAGGGGTTGTCACACGCTGAAGAACCAGGATAAGGAAGGCCCACCTACCTCTTGTATCCATTGTAGTTTAGGTGACATTTTACAGGGCCAATCCATTCTACATATGCCATCCACAGCCCTTGCTCCCATGATCCCTGCCTCCGATGCTGGATTCAGGAATTTATTGCAATGGCCATACACCAGGCAGAGGCCGTGCTGATGTCAGGGGCTGTCGGGTTTGGACTGACCCATGGCGCCCCTGGGATGGGCCCCTGCACCATGCTCACCATTGTTCCTATGCTTGGACCCATTGCTGCAGCCACAGGGGGAATCCAGCTCCCCGAGGGCCTTCCTCTGTATTGCTGACATACTCGTGTTTAGGGGGGGTTATTAGGAAAGTTAATAAGTTAGCACGGGTCAGAACTGGTAAACAGTAAGGATAGTCGTGGTCCACAGTGACACTTCTTCTTATCCAGCAGCCCAGTCTCTCTGGTCCTCAGCCTCTCAGCCTCTCAGCCATGGGGTGGGATACAGTCACTGGTACTCAGCTAAGCTTCTCTTCTGCCGGCAGCCAAGTCCTCAGCCACGTGGCTCCTTGGCTGTTGTCTCTGCGGGCCAGGAGGCCAGCTGGCCTGTTTGCTCTGTCCCACAGCTCCAGGGTCTCAGGCCAGAGGAGGATGAGGCACCCCACAGTCTAGGTGCTGCTCCTCTGAGTCTCTGTGCCCAAGTCTTTGACCCTAGCAGCCTGCACCATGTCAGACAGAGAGCTTGGACCTGCTCTTCCGAGATCCTGGGCTTTCTCTCTGTGCCCCCAGGTGACCATGATACGCAAAGGAACGGCTTTGGTGGAGGGGTGGTTTTTGTCTCTTAGCAGAACATTGTGATCGTTGGGTGCCATCGAGTCAGTTCCGACTCCTAGCCACCCTGTGTGCATCTACACGGTGCCCCACGGGGTTTCAGTGGTCCTGATCTGTCGGCAGTGGATGGCCAGGCCTTTCTCCTGAGGCACCTCCGGGGGAACTCAAAGCTTCAACCAGTCCAGGCACAGTCAAGCCAGAACCGTGGGCACTTCAGTCATAGATGTTTCCTGATGCGAGACTCAGCCAGGCCCCACAGGGTGGGCTGGGGAGGGAGAAAGGAGGGGCGCAGTGTCTGAGGTGGTGGTCTCCTGGGGGAGGTCCCATGTGCCTGTCAAGCAGGTGCAACCCTGAGTGCCCTCTGCCCTGTGTGCACAGGGAAAACCTCTGAAGTGCTGAATGCAGCGGAGGTGCACCTCATCGAGCCCCAGAGCTGTAACAGCAGATACGTCTACAACAACCTCGTCACGCCCGCCATGATCTGCGCAGGGTACCTGCAGGGAAACGTTGATTCCTGCCAGGTGAGCGTGGTTCTTTATCCAGCCTGGGTAAAGTTGGGGCTGCCCGCGGCAACCTCAGCTGACCCCACGGCATCACGCCAGGACGGTGCCCCTCGGGCTGTCCAGGGCTGACTGTTCTCTGTACATCACCAGGCTGTTCTCCTGAGGCACATCAGAGTGGGCTCAAACCACCAACCTTCTGATTAGCAGCTGAGCACATCGACTGCTTGAGCTCCCAGGGTCACCTGTTTGACCTGAGAGTCTACTTCGCTGAGCTGGCCAGAGCAGGCAGAAACCCCCTGAGACAGGATTTCCAGGGGACAGGCACCTCAGCTGGGTGTGGCCCTGGCTTGGGTCCTTTGGGGACCCGTGGTGGCCACCAGCATGAGGGTGGCAGGAGCAAGCGCTTCCAGCGGAAAACCCACAGGCCGCTGCTTTCCTCTGGGAATGCTTGGTCTTGTACCAAAGAGTCAGTTGGGCCGAGATGAGTACTCTGACCACTTGAAAAGATGAACTGCATTTTTTAAAAATGCCTGTTAACTGATGTCGATTGAAATTCGTCCTTAGTAGAATCTGTAAATTCTGAAGATTTCCTAAACACTCCATTATTATAGTTCTATTACCCCCTCTTGGAGATCAGAAACCTGTGCCTCTCTATACAGAGACACTACACCCACACCCGACTGTGCTGCAGAGCCCACACTAATACACACTCCCCTCCACATCCTCAGAGCTCACTCTCTACACACACTCCCTTGATGCTCTCAGAACCCCACCCCACCTCACACACACACCAAGCATACTCAGACCACACACTGACACACTCCCCTCAGGGTCCCTGGAGTCCAGAACCCTCACTTCCACACCCCCTTAGCCACCCCAGAACCTTCCCTGACCAACACAGCCTTATGAGCCCTCTGTGATCAGCATTGTGTAGGGGTTGTGCGTTGATTATCTGCTCTCTGTCCCGTGCCCCTCCAGGGTGACAGCGGAGGTCCTCTGGTCACCTTGAAGAACAATATCTGGTGGTTGATTGGGGACACAAGCTGGGGATCTGGATGTGCCAAGGCGAACAGGCCCGGAGTGTATGGAAATGTGACGGTGTTCACAGACTGGATTTACCGGCAAATGAGGGTAATTTCTCCCCTCTCCTTCCCGTCCACTTCTCATGGACTGCAGCCGCCAACGCCCGGATGTCCCTGAGGGTGCCCTGCAGTCAGGCGGCTGGCTCTTCTAACCTCTAGTCCACGTTAGCACGGCTTCCCTGCCTCCATCAAAGTCCCCATCACTGTGAACCAGTGTCGTGGTGGTCTCTGGGACTTGGGAACAAGTCCACAGCTTAGCTCCCCAGGGTCCAGAGCCCAGGGGATTGAACCTGGGTCTCTTTGGTGCCCTCCTGACCACACTTGGTCTTGGATCAACTGGTGCAGTCACCCCCACCCCAGCCCCCTGGGCCAAGCTTTGGGAGGTAGGGAAGTGGGGGGTGAAGCAAAGCAGCCTGGGTAGGGAGCGGCTGGAAGTCTCTGGACCCACACTTTGGGCCAGGGGTCCTCAAACTACGGCCCGCGGGCCACATGCGGCCCGCTGGGTGTTTTTGCCCGTTTTGTTTTTTTTACTTCAAAATAAGGTGTGTGCGCCTTTCGGTGCTGCGGCTGCAGCCCTGAGTATGCTCCGGCTTCAGAAGAGGCTCGCCTCCAGCGTCCTCCGCTGCAGCGAGAAGAAAGTCTGGTTGGACCCCAAGGAGACCAATGAAATAAATGGCCAATGCCAACTCCCGTCAGCACATCCGGAAACTGATCAACGAGGGCCTTATCGTCCGCAAGCTGGTGACCCTCCATTCTCGGCCCGGTGCTGCAAACACACCCTAGCCCGCCAAAAGGGCAGGCATATGGGCATAGGTGAGCGAAAGGGTACTGCCGATGCTCGCGTGCCCGCGAAGGTCACGTGGATGAGGAGGATGAGGATTCTGCGCCAGCGGCTCTGGAGATAACGGGAGTCCAAGAAGATTGACCGCCATATGTATCACAGCTTGTCCCTGAAGGGGAAGGGGAACGTGTTTAAGAACAAGCGAATTCTCATGGACCGTCCACAAGCTGAAGGCAGACCAGGCTCGCAAGAAGCTGCTGGCTAAGCAGGCTGAGGCGCGCAGGTCTGAGAGCAAGGAAGCACGCAAGCGCCGAGAGAGCGACTCCAGGCCAAGAAGAAGAGGTCATCAAGACGCCGTCCACGGAGGAAGAGACCAGAAATAAACTGCCCCTCTCTTCTCTGTACAGAGTGGCCTTGGCAGCTCTATTGATCAGTCACTCAATAAAAGCAAGCCTTGTTGGCCTGCCCCTGAAATATATATATATATATATATATACACACACACACACACACATATATACATATATATATATATATACACACACACACACACACACATATATACATATATATATATATATACACACACACACACACACATATATACATATATATATACACACACACATATATACATATATACATATATGCAGTGTGCATAGGAATTTGTTCCTTGGTTGTTGTTTTTTAACTATAGTCCGGCCCTCCAACGGTCCGAGGGACAGTGAACTGGCCCCCTGTTTAAAAAGTTTGAGGAGCCCTGCTTTGGGCCAAGGGAAGACTGCAGTAGGGTCAGCCCCTGGGGCTCGTGACTGACTTCCTTTATCAATGCCGCGTGTTACCCTGGGTGGGTAGCAGGGAGTGAGACCTTTTTGTTTTAAAAAAATAACATCACTTTTCCATTTCTTTCCTTTTGGGAACAGGCCCACGGCTGATGTGTGAGTCCAGGAACCACCCTTCCCAGCACAAGGAGATGAGGGGCTACTGTGATCTCGGCCCCGGGCTTCATGTGTTCTTAGCGATGATTCCAAGGTCCTTTCATTTTATTAAACAGTTGAACTTGGCTGACTGGGTGCTGTCCCCACTGGCTCCCTCTTGGAGACCCACTCTCCCCCACATAGCGTGGGGGCCCCGATGCCTCTCCAGAGGGCTGGCGGCCCCACAGATGTGGGCGCCTGGGGTCAGAGGGTCAGGGCCTGCAGAGGGGAGTGACCGAGAGGGCTGGAGGCCCCCTGCTGCACCCACTCAGGGGCCTACACTGGGGTGAACTGGACAAGGGGAGTTCTCGGCTGCTGGATGGCTTGAGACGAAAAAGGGAATGTACCCCTGAGGGAGAGTTGGGGGACCTGCAGGCCCAGAAAGGCTCCCCCCTCCCCCACGAAGGGCTTGCTGGTCTTTTTCTGGGCCCCCTTACTCATCCCTAGATGGTAGCTGGAGGGAAGGGAACCAGCCCTTAGGGTTGCTCCTGCGGCAGCAACAGCCCTGCTGCTCTTGCTGGGGGGTGAGCCTGGACAGAGCCCTTGGACCTGGGATGGAATAGCTCACCCCAGACCCCACAAGTTCCCCACCAGCTGCTGACGCATTGTGTTGTGTCAAGAGGAGACAAGCCTTGCTCCCCTCCCCTTCCTCACAACCCCCACCCAAACGCTGTGTGCCCTAGTTTCTCGGAAGGGAGGCCCTTGGGTACTATGTTGCCCCATCACATGTCTACTAACCGCAGGATGCCCTGTCTGCAGGCAGTGCTCCGACGGGTAACTACCTCAGGACTCAGGTGGAGTCTTCTCGTGCCTTTAAGTGGGTCACTTGCACTCCCTCCGTGGGACCTGTCCTGGTCCTTGCCAAGCAGGAGCCAGGGTGTGTTTGAGCTACTCCTTCCAAATGCTGGCTCCTAGTTTAGTGTTTGTAAAGAAATGTGCTCCAGAGGACGGCCTGCGTCTCAGGCAGGGGTGAGAAGATGCATTCTGGAGTTCCCCAGGACATCCCCCCTCTGCCCTTTTCATCTCCACCGCAGGGAAGGCACCCTCGCCGTTTGCCCAGTGTGCCACTTCAGGGCCCTTTCTGGAGGGCAGCTTTCTTCTGCCCGCCTCCTTCCCACCCACACTGGTTTCCAAGGATGTAGTGATAGGCCCAGTGCCTATACTTCTTCCCCTCACTGGAGGCACGGTGCCATGGCAGCCTGTGCATGCCACCTTGAGCCAGGGAATGCCACCCCTGGGATTGGCAGACCCACCACCCTGCCAGGTGCCTGCTTCCCATGCCAGGGGTGGGGCACCTCTGTGACACTGATGGAAACACTTCTCCCCAGTGCTTCCTTGTATGTATCAGCCGCTGTCTGTCTTCTGTTTTGTATCTTTTTAACCTGGAACATTCAATTGTGAAATAAATTATATGATTTTTTCCCCAAAAACAAATATTGCTGGACTCTCTGAGGTTCTCCATCTGTATTTCCTTTTGTGGGAATGATACTGGGGTGGTCACTGTGCAGCAGAGGTGAGACCTGGGGGTGGGGTGGGGTTCACAGGGTGGGGCGGATATAAGTGGAGACGAGGCACACCTATCATCTGGCTGGTCCTATCTGCTCCCTGGGATGTCCCAAGGATGACCCCGGAAAGATCATTTCCATCCCTTCCAACCTCTCTGGAGGTTTCAGTCCCATAGCACCAAGTATCTTCCAGCCGTTTCTCCCTCCCGTCCAGCCAAACTGAGTCTAGCATCCCACTCCTTAGTGCTGTCTCCAGTTGTCTGTGTGCCTGGCTACTGTGTCCAGAGCTGCTTCCTCACATCCGGGCTATCTGTGAGGATGGGTGGGAGGGGACAGTGTGGTGAGCCTTTCCAGTGCTTGAGGACAGAAATCAGGATCGGTAGAGAGTATCTTGAGTCAAACCCTTGTGAGATTTAAAGAAGACTGAACAGGCTAGCAAAAGCAGCAGAGGAGGGGGAACAGGCAGGGGGTTGGGGGATACCAAGAAGGCACATGGGGAACTCTGAGGAACCAGGAGGTAGCAGCTAAAGAGAAGGGGCAGGACGATGGCCTTTATATTTCAGGTCTGAAACCCAGCTACAGTCTGCATTAGAACAAGCAACCCTTTAAGCTCAAAAGGGCAGCACCTTCCAGGGCCCGGGGAAGCAGGAGAGGAACAGGCAACCCAGAGGGTGTGGCACGAGCAGTGGTCCATGGCGGGTGCTGCAAAGCGGATGTGCCCCTTTGGAATGTGGGCGAGTAGCTGAACAGAAGACTGCAGTCTCTGTCAACCATCACCTCCTGTACAATAAAAAGTTGGGAAGCGTTGTATGAAAACAGCCCCAGACGAGATGCCCTCTGGTGCTGAGGCAGAAAAGACTGTGCATGAGGAGCGGCGGAGAGGGAAGACCAGTGACCGGGACTCTGAGCTCGACCTTCAGACCCTTTGGACGTGGAGCGGGAAGTCAGAGAAGGTGCGTAACCACCCGGCCAGTTCATCGCCACCCGCTTCGTGTTCACCTTCCCCCTCCAACCTTGTCGGGTGGGTGGGCTCTGCCTCTGGCTGTTCCCACTCTTCCTCTCTGGGCTTCCTGCTCCCTTCAGAGCCCACCGCCTTCTCTCCGTCTCTTCGCCTTACCAGAGCCCCACTCCCCTCATGCTCATTCCTCTTTCACCCTCATAAAACCCCGTGCTTTGGGACCCAATTTGACACCAGTGTGGATTAAGGATCAGAGAATGCTGCCAATTTGAAAACACAGAGCTTGTCTTTAGATGGAGATCGGTTCCTTATTCAAGGGACTTCTCATCCCACAAAATCCCATGTAAGAGGAATGGGAGAGTGGGGACCAGGGAACCCCTTCAATGTACAAAAGAACCCCCAACCCCTAACTGGGTCTTCATAGGACCCTATTAGAATGGACGGGCCTTTTCCTCTGGGGATAATGCATTTGCATAATCCTACCCTGGGCACCTTCAAGGTCAAAACTCACTAACCAGACCCAGTGCAACCCAGTTCATTCCAACTCATAGTCACCCAACGTAAGGGTTCGAAGACTAAATCTTTACAGGAGCAGACAGCCTCATCTTTGTCCTGCAGAGCAGCCAGTGGGTTTGAACCACCAACTAAGCTTAGCAGCCTAATGGCTAACTCACAGTGCATCGATGCTCCAGGCTCAGTAAAATCAAATCACAAAGAAAGGCGCTGGGTTAACTTGGAGCATCTGAAGAAGGGTCTAGCCCGAGAAGAAGTGCAGGCCAAGTGTTTCAGCGAAGAGCTGGGCCTGTGAGTGAGATGAATAAATGGCTTCTTCCTTCATCAGGTTCATTTTTTCCTAGCAGGCCACATAAGTTCTGATCATTTAGGATCCATAGGAAAGTAGCATAAAGCAATGGGAAGGGGAAATGGGTTTGGCTTTCCTAAAAGGGAAAGCATGAATTAACATTTGTTGACTGTTTGGGGAAAGGTGACTTAATGCTACAGACTAAAGACGATTTTGTGGTAGGGTTAGGTTGACTACCTATGACCAAAACCCAATCGAATGTACATTTCCTTCCTTTGTCCTCTCTGCAGGACAAGTCCATCTCAGAACCTTGCTGCTCAAAATCCTGTTGCTCATGATCTGATGCCTGTGTTGTGATTCCTCCTTGCCTGACTTGCTAAGGTTTGTGTGTTAGCCCCGGTTGACTAGAGAAACAAATTCATAGAGACACTCATGTGTATAAGAGCTTCATATAAAAGAGCAATTGAATATTGAGAAAACGTCCCAGCCCAGTCCAGGTCAAGTCCAGTACCAGTCTGTAAAGTCCTCTTCAGACTCACGTAACACATGCAATGATGCTGAGTGCAGGAAGAGCACGGGCCACTGGGTGGAAAGTCTTGTGGATCCAGTGGTGGAAGCATCTTAGTGCTGGCGTGGGTCTCCACGTGCTTCCTCCAGCTCCAAGGCTCTGGCTGCCATCAGCATAGCTCCATGTGGCTTGTCAACAGGGATGGCTCCCAGGGATTGAGCATGTATCTGGCCTCCAGTGAGCTATTTATCTCTGTTTGCACCTCCTAAATGAGGTCATCAAGCTGAGACCTGATTGACAGGCTGCACTCTACCCCTCCACTCATATTAGTCTCCAGTTGACACCAGACTATGTAACTGCCACAGCTCAGTAGACTACGGTGGCCTCAGTCACCCACCAAGGCCTCAGCTGGAACAACCAGCCCATCTCTCCACATGGGGTCTCACCCTCTTGGACAGCATTCTCGACCTGTGGGTCATGACCCCTTTGAGGGTCAAACAACCCTTTCACAGGAGTCACCCAATTCATAGCAGTAGCGAAATCACAGTTATGAAGAAGCAATGAAAATAATTTGACGATTGAGGGTCACCACAAGATGAGGAACTGTATGAAAGGGTCACGGCATGAGGAAGGTGGAGAACCCCAGCTCTAGGAGGATAAAAGCCAACAGCCCCATCAATTCCAACTGATAGCGACTTCACATGTGGCAGATGGAGCTGTGTTCCATAGGATTGGCAAGTCTGTGGTTTGGGGGGAAGTAGATCACCAGGCTTTTCTTCCAAGGCACGTGGGGGGTGGGCAGATTTGAACCTCTAACGTTTCCATAAGCGCCCAAGCTGATGCCCATTTGCATGACTGATCCAGAAATTTTATTCCTAGATACACACCCAAAAGAATTGGAGATGAGATTCAAACAAATCAGTGCACACCAATGTTCAAAGCAGCAGCATTCGCAATAGCCAAGCAGGAGGGTGACCTAGCTCTAAGGGACTAGAGAGGGCTTCCATTTTGCTACTGAGTTGATGTTGATTCATGGCAACCCCATAGGTGTTTCAATAGAACTTTGCTTCATAGGGTTTTGTGATAGAGAGGTTTTATGTCAATTTCTACAGGCCAGGATTCTCCCGTGATATGATGGGGCATGGGGTGGTTAACCCCATGTTTGGATTTTCTGGGAAGTTGCCAAGCAGAAAAGAATCAGGTGGAGTATCACCGCCTTCATCTAGTGATAGTCTTGAGGGAAGTTTCACTCTTGGTATGGGTTGACAGAGTATGGAAGCTAGCTCATTTCTACTGCTGGATCTGGACCCTGCATCTGGTGTGTTGACCTCCTGTCATATTGCTTTCTGATGCCAGGAGCCATCAGTGGATTGGCCAACCTTGGATTCATTCAGCTCTGCATCCACCAGCCTATGGGCTTCCTAGTTCATCTTCCTGCTTCCTGGTCATCCGTCCTTTCAGTCACATGAGTTTGGAGAAGCCTATAGCTTACATTTGACCCATGGAGTTGAACTGGGCTTTTATAACTGTACAAGTCATGACTGAGAACAGAATGGGGATCAGTCATGAGCTCGGATGGCCTGGATCTGGCCTTGATTGAAGTTCCTTGTGTAATCAAGGTGATGGTGGGCAATCAGCCTGTTGACATTGGACAAAAGGTATGGCTTCAGTTCCTCCTGGCCTTGGTCTTGGTGCAATGCTGCATGAGAGCCACAGAAAGTCCAGGGCTGAGCCTTGAAGAGTGGGGTGCAGAGGCATGAATAGGGGATTGGGTTGCAATCTCCTTGGCCAAGATTGATAGAAGCTTCTCGGGAGAGCATGAGGTACACTGGCACAATGGGAAACAGGTTTTGTATTCCTTTTCTGTTTTCTCTCTGGTTCACTTTTGGTCACAGTTATATTATTTTGGCATTTATTTGGTCATGGTTATGTTTTATGGCTATTAAGAAAGAGTTCTAAGCAGAATGCGGATGAGAGATGATTAGAAATAGGCAGAATGATATTTGAGCATGTGTGAATCTGACTACGGATTTAGGAAATAAGTCAACCTGTTATTTTGGTTTGGGTTTTTTGGGTTGGTTTTTTTTTTTTTTTGCATTGTTTCATTTTGTCCATCAGAGTTGAGGTCTTAGGGGGATAGTTAACCAATTAAAACATTGTATTAGCTTGCTTTTTAAAAAATTTATTAGCTCTTATTAGGCTTCCTTGGAATAATTCTACTAACAAACACACACAGAGAAACACTGATTAATTTGAAGGGATTGGCTCATGTGATAGTGGGGCCTGGCTAGCCCCAAACTGTAGGTCAAGCACAAGGAACTCCCCATTCTTAAATCAGAATTCTTTCCTCCTTTCAGAAACTTCAACTTCTTCTCTTAAGCATGCCCAGGTATAACAAAGGTTTATGCCAAGTATTCCCTACTCCCCAATCCCTCCCAAAGGCATTTATTAAGCACCTGCAGCATGCCAGGCACTGTGTTCTAGAAAACCAAAGCCAGACCTTTTGCTGGTATGTCCACTCCGACTCTTGCTGACCCATGGGGGTCAGAGTAGGACTGGGTTCCATCGGCTGTTCGATGGCTGATTTTTCCAACGAGGATGGCCGGGCCTTCCTTCTGCAGTGCCTCTGTGTGGACTGAAACCTCCAGCCTTTCTGTTAGCAGCTGGGCTCCTTTGCCAGCGGCGCCATCCAGCGGCTCCTCTGAAAAACCTGGGATTTCTCTTTCAGCCAGTCAGCCAGCCCAGCCCTCTCCCTTGCAGAGCTCCCAACCCCCTGAACTCCCTACACAGAGCCAAGCGGACGTAGCCTGAAGACATCCATTTCTGGATGTTCTCTGCATGCAGCTGAGCCGTCAGACCCATGCTATGGAGCTGGAAGTGGGGCCTGAAGATGCAAGGTCCTGGTGAGAGTATGGAGTTGATGGGGGTGCTGGAAGGTTCCACCCCTTGTCTGAGCCCCCACCCCCTGATAAGAGGAAGAGTCACACCGAGTGTACTCTTTCTTTATGAGTTGCTGAGCACTTATGGAGGATAGGGGACTTCTCCCCTGCTGATGACCAGTCATGGCAGGGCTGGAGGCTCCCTAACACTGGGTCTCTTGGGCCAAAAGGAAGCGACTGTGATCTTGTGTGAGCTCCCCTGGAGGCTTACAAGGGACATCCCTATTTTCTGAAGCACAGACCATGCAGCCGCCTCCCCCAGCTCTCCGGAAAGATAGCCTGCTGGACTGTGCGGCCCCTTCCCCTGGCCTCTCAAGGCCAGAGCTGGACTGTGCAGTCCCTGCCTCCAGCATTCTCTCTCCGGGCCGGGTCTGTACAGCCCCTCCCCTCAGTGTTCCAGGACGATTTATTCACAGACCAATCCTGTCTCACACCTGCGACTGCAGCACCAGAAGGCCTTCCTTCCCCTCATCAGCACACACGTCCTTGGCTCAAGCTCTATATGTGTCCCACTGTCTCACTGCCAGGCGTGACTTCCCTGACCTAACTCGTTGGGTGGTGGAACCCACCCAGGGGCTCAAGATGCCCCCGTCCTTCTCTGCTCTCCCTACCCTCCCGGGAGTTCTTTCCCTGCCTCGATTGTTCCACACGTCTGTCTCCAACCTCTCATCTTGGTGCCGAAAAGCCCGGGACCAACAGGAAGGGCCTCTGTGCCGCCCGGCCCTCCTCTGGCCAGTGAGCAGGCCCGTCCTCCATTTTCAAGCTTCACCCACCATTCTTGGTAGGCATCTCAAGGAAAGTTAGAACAACAGCAAAATAGAAGCTCGGGCTTTACATCCCCTCCCCTCCACGGGGACTAGGTCCTGACTGAATCCTGCAGCTGGTAAAGCAGTGACTTAGGCCGGCCACTAGATGGAACCAGACTCGCCGAAAGGGCTCTCACCTACCTCCCAGGCCTCCGGAGTGGGAGAACTTGTGCTGACCCTACGCGAGCGACAAGTAGTGAATACTGAATCAGGAACACAAGCAGTCCCAGGATTATAAACGTCTGCTTTAGGGGCAAGTCCTACTGGCCCTTTAATGTTACATACACTTGCTCTCCTCTTTTTCCCTCAGAGCACAGGTGGGTTTGAACTGCCCACCTTGAGGCTAGCAGCCCAACCCTTGGGGGCAGCACCACTAACAGCAACAACAAAACCCCAAGTCACTGCCATTGAGTCAATCCCAACTCATCGACCCTGTAGCCCCAGGCTATAGAAATACGACTTACCTACAAATTCCACCTAAAGAGTCAAAGACATGGCTTGGCGTGGGTCTCCTTGGTAACCTGGTAACCAACCGGCGGAATGCCTGTCCTCACACCGCCCCACTTGACCTTATTTGTATTCTAACAAAGTTCTACCTGCATATCTGTATGGTCCCTCCGTAAGTGGAGCCCTGATGCTGAGTTTAATTCTAACGGCAAGGTTGCAGGTTCAACCCCCACAGCTGTTCCTCAGGAGAGAGAGGTTAGTCTACCGTACAGAGTTCATCCAGGAAACTTTGTGGAGAAGTCCTGTTCTGTCCTAGAGGGGTGGCTGCGAGGCAGCTCTGACTGGATAGCCAAGGGCTGATTTGTTCTTGGTTCCCCCTTCAAATGGGCCCCCAGAGTGGGGCAGATCTGCCCAGAGTTGGGCAGTTCCGAGTCCACTCATGGGTGTCTGGAGAAAAAATGCCTGGGAATCGATTTCTCAAGTTTTCCTCCTTTGTTAGGCACCAGCATTCCGAATTCTTCAACTCTTCCTCAAAAGGCATTCATAAGGTACTCTGAGCTGGCCCTCTTCCCAGCCCATTCTAATCGCCAGGTCAGCAGTTCAAAACCACAGGCTGGAGAAAGATGAGGCTTTCTAGTCCCACGAAAAGTTAGTATTGTAAACCCAAAGGGACTGTCCTACTTTGTTGTACAGGGCCACCATGAATTAGAATCAGCTCCCCAAGTTTAAGCCCCTTAAGCTCCCCAACTCTCCCTTCTGCCCTCCTCCTGGGCAGTGGCACAAAGGTTCCTGGTCAAGGTTCAGGATACACATTCTGAAATTTTTTCTGGTTTTTCAGTATTTTCTGCTTCCTTTTCTATTGAGGTTTTTCTGTTTCATTTTGTTTTGTTTTCTCTTTGTTTTGCATGTTTTTGTATAGGGAAGTTAAGCTGGGTGGATCAATGAAGACAGCAACTGGATTATGAATTACCTGCCGGCACAAAGCAGGGGTTGGGGCGGAATGGAGAATCCTGAGCAATGGGTACAAGAAGGAAGAAAAAGTCCCATGGTTGATGGTGCTGATGATTGTACAACCCTTAATATGATTGACCTATGTATGATGTTAATTATCCAGCAATAAAACCATTTTTTGTTTTGCTTGGTTTTTTTTAAAGGCTCAGGGTGCAAGGGCGAGGTGGATAGCCTCTGAGCCTTTGTGCCCTGCTTAAACCACAAGGCAGGCAGTCCAGGCTCCAGGGTGCCTCAAACACAGAGACACTCAGGGTCTTCCCGTTGGACTCCTGCTCCAGCAGAGCCCCAAACTCAAACTTGTTACCACTGAGTCCATTCTGACTCGTGCTGCCCATTAAGGGCAGGGAAGGGTTGTCCCTGTGAGTGTCTGAGACTAACGCTTATTGGGATATGACGCTTGTCCTTCTCTTGAGGAGCAGCTGGTAGTTTCGAACTTCAGACCTTGAAGTTAGCAGCCTAACGTGTAACCACTATGCTACCAGGGTGCCTCCAACAGCTGGAGCACTGGCCTACAAATACCTACTTGCAGATCTGATTTTGGCTTGGAAGTTTATTCCCTTAAGCCCAGCTAGCCTGTAATTGAAGAACGTGGGACACTTCATCAGCCAGAGAACATGAGACACAATAGATGTGTGCTTCTCTCTGGTTCCTTCCTTGAGTCTCGTTTCACTGCCCCTCAGGCTCTCAGAAGGGCCCTTTTGCTCATCTTTCCTCCCTCCCTGAAATGTTGTTAGTCCTGAGCCTCCCAAGATAGGTTAGGATCGGCTCATATGGGTTAACAAACAACAAAAAATCAACCCCAGATTCACTGCCATGAAGTTGAAGACAACTCAGAGCAGCCCTGCCAGACAGGGTAGAACTGTCTCTGTTTCCTAGACTGTAACTCTTGGTGGGAGTAGAAAGCTGTTTTTCTCCTGTGGAGCGGCTGGTCATTTCGAACTGCTGATCTTGTGGATTGCAGCCCAACACATACCCACTATGCCACCAGGGCTCCTGGACTACATGCAAAGGTTGTGATTTATGTCTTTTATTGACGGTTGTCTGAAGCAGATGGCCAGGCTTTTCTTCCTAGTCTTCATCTGGAAGCTCCGTCAAAACCCATTTGGTATTACAGCAACTCGCAAGCCTCCAATGACGGGGTCTTCCAGCAGTGCACTGGCTGGGACTCTAAGCCTGTCCTCCCACACGGAAGGTGAGAGGATCCCCTTAGGGGACCACCAGTGCCCCCCAGGGCAGCAGTGAAGCCAGGTTATTTCAATGGGTTCCTTACCTGCTACCTTCTGGATTCTTCCCTTTACCCCCACCCCCTGCTGCCACCAAATAAAAAACATAACTGAGCAATGTCTGATGAAAAGATAAGTATTATTATAAACTAATAAAACAAGGCTTGTGGGGGCAGGCACACACAAGACACTAATGATACTAAAATCCTGGGGGGTGGAAAGGGCAGAGCAGAAACCAGGAAAGCATCATGTTAGCATGAACTCCTCCTGCTGAGGAGAGGTTAGTGTGAGATCTTCCCAGTCTGGACCATGCCATCATTCACCCAGCCTGGACCACAGGCTGTACAAGGGCGGGCTCTGGCTTAAAGGCTGAAACTCAAACTGCCGCTCTCTGCTGCTTGCCTGGTGCTCCTGGAGGAATGGCGGGTGGCCTGGGGAGTCACCGTGCAGGGAAGGGTGCTGTGCCTGCAGAGGCTACTTTAGCCCGGGAACTTGGCCAGGCGCCGCTTCGCCTGGGTCAGCCTGGCCAGCCGCTCCTTCAGAATCTTCCTCCTGTCGCTGGTGTCGCTGCGCTCCTGCAGGAGCCAGCTGTAGGTGTCCTTGTTCTGTAGCAGCTGCAGCATGCCCTTCTGCAGCTGCTCCCTGTACATCTGCAGGACGAAGAACTGGATGACCAGAGGGATGTGGCTGGAGATGCGGTTGCTGGACTCCTGCAGGAAGGAACAGTGCACAGAGAAGTTGGGGGAGGCGGAAATGCTGTGCCCACCCAGGGGCTGTGACCCCATCACCTGAGCATCTGGGGACTCGGTTTCCAGAGAGAGGCCCTCCCAGCTGAAGGCCACTTCGGCATCAGTGTCATCTGGGCCACAGGCAGGGACACGAGACCCCGTTTTACAGAGAAGGAAGCTCAGGCTCAGAGAAGTTAAGCGTCTTGGCCAGGGCCACCTAGCTGGTCAAAACCAGATGCCGGCAGCTCTAGACTAGGATTCTCTGAGGCCGACAGTGGGCTGGAAAAAAGGGCTGGTGGTGGTGGTTGGGGGGTGGGGGTGGGGAGTTACCTTAAAGGTAGTGAGGCTAAAGAGAGAGGGACCAGAAGAAAAGGAAATGAAGACCCCGTGGTAAGACCGTCAAGAGCCCACCTCGTGGTAGGCAAGCAGGTGCTGCGTGATCTCCAGTTTGAAGAAGTCCACGTTCTGCTGGGTGTCCGGCCACTGTGCCCCTTTCTTCTTCCCCTCCTCCGACTCCTTCTCCCGGATCTTCTGCAGAGAGCCACTGTACACCTTGTCCGGGCAGTAGACGATCTGCTCCATTTGGAAGTGCAGTCGGATCAGCTTCTCAGCTTCCTTCTCTTGTTCTAATTTAATGTCTTCTATTTTGGACTACGGGAAAAGAGAAACGCAACCACATCTTCCTCCAGGACCCAACCGGAGGGCGATCGGGACATTATTCCCAAACACCAGGTTGTCTGAACTGCATGAAACTGGCCTAGCCCTCCACACCGCCCCTTCCTCTGCCTCCCCACCACCCCCACTCCCATGAAACCAGAGCCACCCTCAGGGCCTGAGAACCTGAGTGGGCTTTGTTCTCAGCTGAGGGAGGCAGGTCCTTGCCTTTGTCTAGTATTGGCTTTGTACCCTGAAGAGACGTGCTGGTGGCATAGTGGCCTATACTTTGGCTTGCTAACCACAAGGTTAGCAGTTTGAAACCACCGGCTTCTCCATGAGAGAAAGCTGAGGTTGTCTACTCCTGTAAAGATTTACAGCCTAAGAAAATTGTTTTTTAATTTAAAAATTAAAAAATAAAGATTTACGGCCCTGGAACCCAAAGGGGCAGTTCTACTCTGCCCTCTAGAGTTGCCGTGAGCCAGAATTGACTTGATGAGTGAGTTTGGGGTGCTTTGGACACCCACTCATAGGGAGCATTCTAGTCATCAGTGCTCTCCTCACTTACCCACCCAAACCACTGCCATCAAACGGAGAGACTCACACTAGCCACTATAACACCATCTTGCTGACTGCTGAATGACCTGCCTCCTTCCCCCTCCCATCTCGGAAAGTCCCATTAGTGATTGATTTTAGAATGTACTCTCATGTTCTTGAGATCAGAACGTTGTAATTAATAATATTGTTCTTTTGATGTTGTAATCAGGATATTACTATTTTTATTTTATTAAACAGGTTGTTATAATCAATGCTGTGACCTGTAGTGCTCACTAACTCTACAGAATAGTAACATTAATTTTGCTTTCTGCTTCTGTCCACACTTGCTGAAATCCTAATCAAATAATTGATTTTAGATTCTAGCAGCCTGGATGGAACCTGATAAAGACTCTTCTAAATTATCGAGACATTATAGTAGCTGTCATTTATTGAAACCCATAACAAAACCAGTATCAACCAGACAGAACAGAACAGAAATACCCCAGAGATTTCCAAGGCTGTAAACTTGACAGAAGCAGACTGCCTCTCTTTCTCCCCCAGAGCAACCAAGAGATCCAAATGACCTACCTCTGGGTGGCAGCCAAGCACTCTTACCACGATCTCCCCAGTGTTCCCCACCAACCAACAAGGGAGTGACACATTCTGTCTGTGGGCAGTCTTGGAATTTAGAGAAAGTGTGGACAGCCGCCCCTCCCCACAGAAGAACTCCCTTCAGAGGACAGCACTGAAGCTACAGCTCAGAGAGAGGGACATGTCTGATCAGAGCACACAGGAGCAAATGAAGGGGAAGGAAGAGAGAGTGGAGCACATCCTGGCCCACCAACTTTGAGGACAATATCCCTGCTCAGAGCAGCCAATGCACAGAGAGGACCATATGGCCAGCCCCACTATGAGACACGACATCCCTCACTGACCCATAGCCCTACAGGGGACAACACTGGAGACACAGTGTGAGAATTGTGCCCG